CCACCCTGGGTGCCAGGGAACCACCCTGGGGCCTTTGGGTGCCATTGGAACCACCCTGGGACTGAGGGGAAACCACTCTGGGACCTTTGGGTGCCAGGGGAACCACCCTGGGTGCCATTGGAACCACCCTGGCACCTCTGGGTGCCAGGGAACCACCCTGGGACTGAGGGGACACCACCCTGGGACCTTTGGGTGCCAAGGGAGCCACCCTGGGGCCTCTGGGTGCCAGGGAACCACCTGGGTGCCATTGGAACCATCCTGGGGCCTTTGGGTGCCAGGGAACCACTCTGGGGCCTTTGGGTGCCAGGGGAGCCACCTGGGTGCCATTGGAACCATCCTGGGTGCCAAGGGAACCACCCTGGGACCTTTGGGTGCCCTTGGAACCACCCTGGGACTGAGGGGAAACCACCCTGGGATCTCTGGGTGCCAGGGGAACCACCCTGGGACATCTGGGTCTGAGGTGGCACCACCCTGGGGTGTCACATTCTGAGGTGGCACCACCTTGGAACCTCTGGATCAAAGTTGGCACCACTCTGGGGTGTCAGGATCCAAGGTGGCACCAGTCTGGAACATCTGGATCCAAGGTGGCACCATCCCAAAATCTCAGGATCCAAGGTGGTACCACCCTGGGGTGTTACCAAATTAGGAATTTGGGGAATTATTAGGAATTTTTGGGAATTAGGAATTTGGGAATTAGGAATTTTGGGGAATTATTAGGAATTTTGGGGAATTAGGAATTTTGGGAATTAGGAATTTGGGGAATTATTTGGAATTTTCATGCTGGGAATTCCAGCAGGAAAAAGGGACCCTGGGGTGGTGCCACCTCAAATCCTGACATTTTGGGATGGTGGCACCTCAAGAGATTTTGGGATGGTGGCACCTCAGACCCAGAGGTTCCAGGGTGGTGCCACCTCAGGATGTGACACCCTAGAGTGGTGCCACCTCAGATCTGGAGGTTCCAGACTGGTGCCACCTTGGATTCAGAAGTTCCAGACTGGTGCCACCTCAAGTCTAGAGGTTCCAGGGTGGTGCCACCTCAGATCTGGAGGATCCAAGGTGGCACCACCTTGGAACCTCCAGATCCGAGGTGGCACCACTCTAGGGTGTCACGTTTGGAGGTGGCACCGCCCTGGAACCTCTGGATCTGAGGTGGCACCATCCCAAAATCTGTGGATCCAAGGTGGCAGCAGTCCTGAGCCTCTGGATCCAAGGTGGTACCACCCTAGAGTGTCACATTCTGAGGTGGCACCGCCCTGGAACCTCTGGACCTGAGGTGCCACCATCCCAAAATGTCAGGATTTGAGGTGGCACCACCCCAGGGTCCCTTTTTCCTGCTGGAATTCCCAGGATGAAAATTCCAAATAATTCCCCAAATTCCTAATAATTCCCCAAAATTCCTAATAATTCCCCAAATTCCTAATTCCCCAAAATTACTAATTCTTAATTCCCCAAAATTCCTAATAATTCCCCAAAATTCCTAATTNCTCCTCAGGAATCGCCTTCCCCACCAGTATCTCCGTCAATAACTGCGTCTGTCACTTCTCCCCGCTCAAGAGCGACCAGGATTACATCCTGAAAAACGGGGATCTGGTCAAAATGTGAGTGCCAGGAAAATCCCAAATTCCATGAAAATCCCAAATTTCCATCAATGAAATCCCAAAATTATCCAAGGTTCTGTCAGCCCACCCCGGGTTTTTAGCACAGAATTAATTGTGTGTTAATTAAAGGGTAATAATGAGCCTGGGGGGCAGCGTTGGGTGTGCTGGGGTCTGGCTGGAATTCCTGGAATTGATGGAATTCTTGGAATTCTTGGAATTGATGGAATTCCTGGAATTTCTGGAATACCTGGAATGGATGGAATGGCTGGAATTGTTGGAATTCCTGGAATTTCTGGGATTGATGGAATTGCTGGAATGTTTGGAATTGATGGAGTGGCTGGAATTTCTGGAATGGATGGAATTGCTGGAATGGCTGGAATTTCTGGAATTGATGGAATGTCTGGAATTGTTGGAATTGATGGAATTGATGGAATTGCTGGAATGTCTGGAATTGCTTGGGATTTCTGGAATGGATGGAATTGCTGGAATGTTTGGAATTGCTGGAATTGATGGAATTGCTGGAATGTCTGGAATTGCTTGGGATTTCTGGAATTCTTGGAATTGCTGGAATTCCTGGGATGGATGGAATTGATGGAATTTCTGGAATGGATGGAATTGCTGGAATGTCTGGAATTCCTGGAATGTCTGGAATTCCTGGAATGGATGGAATGGCTGGAATGGATGGAATTGCTGGAATGGATGGAATGGCTGGAATGGATGGAATTGCTGGAATTCCTGGAATTGATGGAATTTCTGGGATTGATGGAATTGCTGGAAAGGCTGGAATGTCTAGAATGGCTGGAATTGATGGAATGGCTGGAATGTCTGGAATTTTTGGTATTGATGGAATTGCTGGAATGCCTGGAATTCTTGGAATTGCTGGAATTTCTGGGATTGCTGGAATGGCCGGAATGGCTGGAATTGATGGAATGTCTGGATTTGCTGGAATTGATGGAATGGCTGGAAATTCCTGGAATTGCTTTAATTGATGGAATTGCTGGGATTCCTGGAATTTCTGGAATGGATGGAATTTCTGGAATGGCTGGAATTGATGGAATTTCTGGAATGGATGGAATGTCTGGAATGGATGGAATTGATGGAATGTCTGGAATTCTTGGAATTGCTGGAATTCCTGGAATTTCTGGGATTGATGGAATGGCTGGAATTCCTGGAATTCCTGGAATGGATGGAATGGCTGGAATTGCTGGAATGTTTGGAATCGCTGGAATTCCTGGGATTGTTGGAATGTCTGGAATTCCCAGAATTCCCATGTTCCCCTCTGTTGCAGTGACCTGGGCGTGCACGTGGACGGGTTCATCGCCAACGTGGCACACACCTTCGTGCTCGGCGCCTCCAAGGTGGGTTTGTCATCGGGGGGTGTCTGCTGGCACCTCTGGGTGCCAGGGGAGCCACCTGGGTGCCATTGGAACCACCCTGGGGCCTCTGGGTGCCATTGGAACCACCCTGGGGCCTTTGGGTGCCAGGGGAGCCACCTGGGGCCTCTGGGTGCCATTGGAACCACCCTGGGTGCCATTGGAACCACCCTGGGTGCCATTGGAACCATCCTGGGACCTCTGGGTGCCAGGGGAGCCACCCTGGGGCTCTGGGTGCCAGGGGAACCATCCTGGGTGCCATTGGAACCATCCTGGGGCCTCTGGGTGCCAGGGGAGCCACCTGGGGCCTCTGGGTGCCATTGGAACCACCCTGGGTGCCATTGGAACCACCCTGGGGCCTCTGGGTGCCATTGGAACCATCCTGGCACCTCTGGGTGCCATTGGAACCA